GAGAGAGAGAGAGAGCAGAGAGACAGAGGGAGAGTCTCGAAGTGAGTGGTGTGGAGAGGCAAGTGGAGTGGAAGAGTGTCAAAAGAAAAAAGAGGTTACAACACCTCCCCAGCTCTCTTTCCTTTCTCCCGTCTGCTTTTTACCCTCTTTCTCGTGTTGGCTTAGAGGAAGAAGAAGAGAAAGAAGGGTGGTTTTTAAAAATTAACTGAAGAGCAAGCTGCTTGAAGAGAAAGAAGCGAAAGAAGAAGGGGGGGAAACCTCACGTCAAGCCCCATTGAACAGTTGAGAGGGAGGGCTGCCTCAGTGGAACAGGGACCAGTAAAGCTCTCTGTCCAAAGGCTCGGACTCCTCTTGACACCCACACTGGCTGGACTGGTCCCAGTGCTCGGCCCTTCTCTCCTCCGCCCGCCTGCCCACACCTGTCCCACTTCCACCATGATGATGTACTTTTGGGTGAGTACCGGACCACAAAGTGTGGATCTCTTTTTGCGCTCACACCGCTCCGGCATGGGAAGAGAGTTGGTGTGTATAGTGTGTGTGGCGAATGCGTCAGAGTGCCTTTCAGCCCCTACAGTATATACAGTGCTAGTTTGTGTGTGTGTGTGTTGCGCCTCCCACATGCATGAACAGAGCTGATGGTTTTCCACTTCCATGTGTTTTATTGATGCTGCAGCCAGATGCCATAGAGGCCTGCGTGGACATGTCGGATTTATTCAGCCTTTAAATGATTGTTACTTACACTAATACCTTTACAAATATAGTTATTCAACTTTTGCTGACAGTCAAACTACCCAGCATGCAGCGTGTCTGCCATTTGAAACTATATCTCCCCGATTTAACGCCGGGTCTTCTGGGACGCATTTTGATTTCTTTGTCCTCGCTTGTGTTTCAAATATGTTTTGTGATGTTGTTGTTTCTGTTGCCCATACATCTAAGTCAGCCAGAATTCCTCCTATTTTTGTCTCTTCATAAAATTAGCAGCATTAAGCGCAGAATGAGGATGATTACAGATTGTTAACCAGAGCTGCTGATTAATTCTGGTTGAGATCATGTGTGATTAGTCAGATTGGTTTTGTCTCATCTGTGGTTTGTATTCTCACCACAACAATACCCACCCAGTGTTCGTTGCTTCTGCATTTATACCCTCTCTTATTTTTTATTTCTCACTGATGCACAGTGCAGATCATTTTAATCCTGCACTGTTTTGCTAACTTTTATTTTGCACCTTCACAGAAATACAAAGTAAATGAAATTATTTTCCAATGCAACACATTTGCAGCATTGCCACTGTAAACAGTTTGAGTTTTAATGCAGTTACAGATGTGCCTTCTGCAGACTGTGTGTGTGTGTGTGTAGCTATTGATCGTGAGTTCAGATTTCTGGGGAGAGAGCATCTTTTTTGGAGAGGAAAGTTATTTTACGTAGATGACTCCATTATATGACTTAATACTTGAACCACATTTTTTTTCAAACTTGGAAGTGAGAGCAAAACATGAATAACAAACCCATTTTGAGCATGCTATGAATGAAACAGCACTGGGTTATTGATTTAGGGCTCAGATTTCTGGAGAGAGAGGATGTTTTGGGGCCAAAGTTACTCTAAGTGGAGAAATGAGCTCAAATTTGAACCACAAGAAAAGTTTGCTTTTGTTTCCAAGTAGAGTGGGAGTGACAGGAAGGTGTATGATTTCCAAATTATGTCATAACGAAAAGAAAACAATACAGCGTGCAGGGTTCTTCGAGGCCTCGCTCCAGCACTGGCCTCCCTGATACTCGAAGCGTTTCTCCTGTGATGCCTCCTGGGTTTCGGTGCTTATTGAGAGAGGCTCGTCGCTGTCTTCAGACCTCTTTGAAGGTGTGCTGTGAGAATGCAGATCACCTTTTGCCACCTCCAGTTTCATCACTAATTGTCCCTGCAACCGTTCAGAAGGGATGACCACACACAGATGTAGGCTGAATGGAGTGAAGCAGTAATGCTGACAGTTTACAGCCCTGCAGGCTCATCAGTGTGACAGTGTGCCTCCTGTACTGTAGTGTTTCTCTCATCATCTCATCAGTTCAGGAACGACTGCCTCTCTGTGTTTTCGTGTATGTTCATGAGTGGATCCAGTGAACAAAAGTGAGGTAAAAATGTTACTACTTTCACTTTCTGCTCACTTCAGAATCATTTTGCTCAATTTTGCATTAATTCAATATATGACTATTTTATAATTTCCCCATCACTCTAAAATCCATTTTGCATCCAGGCTAGCTACAGCTAAGAGGAGGATTACTGAGGTAAAGGAAATACAAAAGGATAGGAATTACTGTATCAGTTTTCAGATAATAGGGGTGATACAGTATCGTACAATAAGTAAGTTAGATGTATTGATCAACAGAATGTTAACATCAATTTTAAAAGATTCATTATTCATGTCATTTATCAAACCATTTACTGGTTCTAATAAATAAATAATACAAAAATAAATCTTGGTTTTTACATCATAGCATTTATTATATTTTGGGGTTTTTGGACAAAACAGGCAATCTGAAGATGCAGCCTTGGGCTCTGGAAAATTGTGATGGGTCTTTTTGACAATTCTCAAACATTTTGTTGACCAAATGATTGATCTGAAAATAATGGTCATATTAATAGACAGTGAAAATTAGTGGTAGTTGAAGCCCTAAAATGTGATGATTGGTTAGGTTTAAATTCAGAGGATGGGAAAACTGTAATATGGAGAAAGAAAAACACATTACAGTGATTGTGATAGGGCTGAAACAATTATGATGATTAATATAAAATTAGTTGAATATTATATATTATTATATATAACATTTATCAAGAAAAAAAAAGCCAAATATTTGTACAATATTGCAAATGCTGTACATTTAATGGTTAGGTTTGGGACTGTTTTCTTTTGTTGTTAATTGTCCACTATTGTTAACACAGTGTGGTGAAGCCGAAGACCATTTTCCACAATGTGGAAATTAATGTTCTTAACTAACTAGCAAAACAAGCAATTTAGTTCTGGGGAATTGTGATGGACTGTTTTTACGATTTTCCGACATTAAGACAGATCAGTTCATCTAGTGAACTGTAAAGAAAAAAATCAGAAAACAGATTAATACACACTGAATGCTCGTTAGTGCCCTAGTATAAAAACAGAAGCAGTGATGTAACTTTTGGACTGCTAAGTAAAGAAATGGGAAGTGAGCATGGGCAGGGTTTTAGCTTCACGTGGCACTGCAGAAAATATCGTTGTCAGGTTTCCACATTTGCTGCAGACCCAAAGATCAACATCTATTCAGCAGCAGAACATTTGCAGGGTAACATGAAAAGTGAAACGGCAAGAGTATTGCATTGCACTTGTCATTCCTGAGAACAGTAACATCCCAACCAGTGCATGATCAATGATTTAACACCCATCCCTGGTGTCTATAGTGTGTGCATGGTTGTGTTAGTCGGCCAGCGTTTAACTGCAAGAGGAGGGTGGGACCGCCTCGTGTTTGAACTGCAGGTGGTGAGCATTACCTGCGGTCCCTCCGGAGGCCTGTCAGCCGTGCATCAGTCTGGGGAACCTGCAAGCTCCCCTCATTAGAATATTTATTCACCAAGCAGATGTTCTTATCCAGGGCAATTACCTTTGGCTTACATTTCCCTATTGCCCACTGATATAGATGAATGTGTATACAAAGACGTCCCAGGTTATGCATGGGGCCCTTGGGTGCCACCCACCTTTCCTCCCCCATATGCATGGCGGGCAAGCCAGCGACCGTCTGGTCTGCCACAGCGCAACCCAAACCCAACCTCAACTCCACTGTGGTAATTGGAGGAAGTGGAGGCGACATCTCCTGCGATGGCCACACAGTGATGGAGAGACGGCCTGTATATCATTCTCTCCACCCGGCTGTTCCTTTGCATTAGAGGCCGAGAGAAAAAGGGAAGAGGCATGGAGTGGAGAAACCATGCATGCTTCTGTCCTCCCCTCAGTGTGATGAATAATTTAGCAGTGCAGGGCCCTCGCTGTCGAGTGGAGATGGTGGTAATGGGGAGACTGGATATATATGGCATGGCAAGGAGCAATGGTTTACGTTAGACTTCCCCGACCAACGCACTCAAGTGTGCCGCAGGCTGCTCACATGGTGTGTTTGGCCTGCATTAATGCTTTGTTTTTATCTGCAAAATAACCGACAGAGAACATCCACAAGCAGCAGCTTAAAAATCAGGAAGGAGCTGGTTTGAGGCTCTGGAGCTGTGGTCATTAGTAGGAGTGGATTCCCTTTAGGCAGACGTTCAATCAAAGCTGTTGTGGTTTTGGTCATATATGGTGCGTTATACTGCAAATTGTATCAGTAGGTTAGATTTTCTTAGAAGATGAAGAATAGCCCGAAGTGGTCCCTTATTGCACACGGTGCATATATGTACAGCATGTGTTGTGGTTACAATGCATGCATATGGTCTCAGCCTCTGGTGAGACATTACAAACCCACAGCGGAGGCGTTTGCAGTCTAACTGGCAGAAGATGTTGAAATTCATGGCGGACGGTGTGTGGAGGCAGAGCTGATCAGCCATTCTGGGCGGGAGGGCAGCAAGTCCAGGCCGCCGGTTTCATATTGCAAGATGAAGTGCTTGCGATCGTTTGTTAATGTATTAATTGATCTGTGTCCTCAGACGGGCAAATCAGGAGTAGTGTCACGTAGACTCTTTAGTACTCCCCGAGACGCCTTCATTAGCTGCTGCTGGCCGGCTCTCCACCCCTATTACAGGGCCGCGTTGCCACACACTTTACCTGACTGCTGTAATAACTTTAGACATTTCTATCTCCCCGGCAAGTCCTCCAACAGCCAGAACAGTTTGGGGGCTTAACATCAAATGTAAGGAGCTTCTTTGAAAGGCTTATACTGCAGGTGATTCACTCCGGGGGTGTCATGTGGGCTTGTTTTGTCTGCGAGTTGTTGCTCTGCTTCTCTTACAAGTTTCAGCAACGGCTGTTGCAATCAGTCATTAACTTCCAGCACAGTGTTTTATAATCTGGAAGGCACGCATGCCTTTGTAGCAGTGCTGATGTAACAGCTCTGCTACAAAGCCGAGCTAAGGAAGCAGTGGAGTCAGTACATCCAGGAAACGTGTTATCTGTTTAACCACTAATACCGATGAGATTCAACTTCATCAGGTTGTAAGTTCTATGTTTTTCCAGTGTAAATCTGACAGCATCAATTCAGGAAGAGGAATTCGAATTTTAATTTAATTTATGTTTTTGGACCAAGGCCCCACCCTTTGTACTCTGTGGGATCATTAGCAATCAGTAGCTTAGCAGTAGTAGTAACAATAATTCTGTCAGCTTTTGGTCTCTTCCCCTTGGGGCTAATGGGTCTAGAGCCCAGCTAATTGTGATTAGGCTCTGACAGCAGGTTTTACTTGCAGGATTTTCACACCACAGTCCTCTTTGATATTAGCCGCACAGCTGATA